TGTCTTGAGATGGTTCATTGTCGATTGGAAGCACATATCAAGCAATCCCTTTCATGCAAATGTCCGTAATTCTGCAATTTGACACGCATGTTGATCTTTCTGCCCAAAGCCACATAGCTGCCATACTAACACACCCTGCCAAAGGGAAGAGAGGTTCAGGGTGCACCTACTCATTCCATCGTCAACAGAGGCAAACTCACATTTTCCCCGCGTTTACTTTCATAAGTCTCTGACTTTCCCCATATGATTGCCCCTCCCATTCTGTCATTTGGGAGAGCCAAAGTGCTGAATGTGTGCTCTAAATCGAACACAAATAATTATAAAAACAAAATCTGTTTTTATTATAAGCAGTTACAAATCAATATATTCATTCTCCATTTAAATAGTCCAGATATTAACGCTAAAACATCATCGATCTTGTTGAGGAGAAACAGTAACACTTGTCAGGCTCTGAAAATGTTCACAGTAAATGATAAAGAAATTAAGTATCAAGGTGTTGGCACTTACAAACTTATCGTATACCATTTCAGGGTATTGATATCACTACACCACTACGTCGAAGGTCAAGAAAGGAGAAGTCAAATGATGCACTATGTTGGAATTTTAAGGCAGTCTGCTTTAACCAGAGAAATAGGAGAGACCCAAAAGAACACACGGAAAGATTCCACTTAAATAAGAAATTAATAATTGGACAGAACGTAGAGCAAGAGTTAAAAGACTGGTTCTTAAAATTAATTAAGTTACACAATAGAAACTCGCTCCCACAAGCTTCCCCCAACAAGCTTCCTAACAAATAATGCTTTAAATATTTACATGACATGTGAAAATCATTTTTCAAATGAAGATTTGGGAGCCATCCCCATTCCCAATAGAGGTAGAGCAGTTTTAATGAATGTGAAGGGACAAAAAAGAAAAGAAAAAAAATATCAGTTTGGCTATACATGTAGGAAACAGTCCAGGCTGAAAGAACTAATGGCAACTCAAATCTATGCAAAATTTAAACAAAATGCCGACAAAATTATTTTTTCATAACTCCATGGGATACATGGTTTTCTCAAAATTTTGATGACAATTATCTAACAATTGCTGAGTAAACCATTATACAATATACCATCAATTTAGATACACCTAAATTCAAAATTGTCTGTTATCATTACAAAAAAAAAGCATCCTATAAACAGTTACAAGAGTTATGTTCTGGCTTCCTGGAATAAGTACAAATTATTTGTTGCTGCTACTGCTATAATGTTCTCTTGTGGGTGCCAAGCAGTGTGAAGAATCTTATGACTAAAGTCCAAGCATTCTACTGTGATATCATCTTTCTTTCGCTTTCCTGTTACCGCTACACGACGAGGCTTTAAAATCTGCCGTGGCTTACTAAACTCCCGTGATGCCTCTAAACAAACATCCTGTTTGTCATTTCTGTCAAAGATGTGAAAGAAGTTGTTGTAAGAACCCGTCATTATAGACCTGAAAATGGAAAAAAACAAACAAATGAATCAATAAAAAACTAAATAAATGGCAAATAATTTTAGATTTGCACATAACTGATTGGTACAATAAATGTAGATAGCATCAATCCAAAATTTACACTTCATTAGTCATTCTGCCCTCATAATTTGAACCATTACAAATAATCAATGGGAAAACCACCAATTAAAAGTTTAAATTAGCATTTTAGTAACTGTTGTACTTGAAAACACCTTGTCTCCCTTCACATGTTATTTAAGGTAAAAAAAAACCCTGACCTAACTTGGAAAGTTGTGTGTCTGTCAAGGCTATTGCAATAGAGCCTTTCATAATGCATCTGGTTTCCACAGTTGCCTACAGATGTCTTGTTTACAATACCCAGATGAAAAGTAACACTTGGAAACAAAACCGTGTACAAGTAAGAAAAAGCTTACTGCAGTTCAAATACATTATGCGAGGACAGAAACCCAATGTTCAACCCAGTTTAACAGAAATAATTTACTCTTAATAATCTTAAGCACTTGATAGATTCATACTTAAGGTAAGATGACGTCCAGGTCAGTGAATTGTATATTGGCTAAATAATCATCTATACCCTCCATTTCTTTTACACAGTTTGAATAAAGATTCTGTCATTTATAACCAATGCATAAATGACCTTAGTTAAGCAAGAAGTTCTTTAACTGATAATTGAAACTATTGAGAATCAATACTCCATTAAATGAATTGAAATTTTGGACAAAAAGAAAACTCCTCTACAAAGAAGAGTATCACCTCTAACTTACCCATCATTTCCATTCCAAACACATTCAAACTTGTCAAAGATGCAATCATTTTCATACAGTGAGCATAACTTGCTTCTAAGGTAATCATGAACGTTGTAGACCTCCACTGGTTTGCTTTCCATGTTTAGATCCCATACTTTGACAGTCAAGTAGTCACGTGTCAACATGTACCGGCCACTGTGGCTGAATCTTACATCTGATATTGATGAAATGATCTCTGAGAAAAATGATCTTGCCCCAGGATCCTCTGGTTCCTCAAACACTGCAGGAGAAACAATTGGTAATTCATACCAGTATTGGCATTAATTGAGACCTATAGAAAACATCTTTGCTTATCTACTAACCAGAGCCACCACAGATCCCATATTTTTACATTAGAACTGACAGTAGTGAGTGAACTTACAAGGCAACCAATCATCAATCCAATCAAAAAATCTTTAAACAGTAATACCCCTGTAAAGCAGAACACTTAATCAGGAGCTTCTTAGAAATAAAAACATGAAGCCATAACAGTAAGTTCAAAGAAAAGGCATAAAAACTCACTTTTGGTATGCCTGTCACACAGTGCTGATTGCCTCATGTCACATAGCCTGACAGTTCCTTTACTGCTACTGTATGCAAATGTGCTGCACTCTATTGGATGAAACTCTGCTGCAGTAATAACTTCGGTGAGTTCCTCCATGTTTGCTGGTTTGATATCAACAATATCTAATGTACTGTTAAGAAAAGTTTGGGTTTCACTTTCATTATTTCTACCATTGAAATGGATGCACTTTCTAAAAAAAGGAAAAATTTTAATAAATCACAGTGATAAGAAGACAAACAAATAAACTGTTCCTCTGGTTACAAACACAATTAGGGGTTACCAATAGAGGCCACATCCTGTAACATCTGTTATGGCTGAGCAACCACAACATTATGGGTGAAGATTGTGACACTGTCATGTTACACTTTGGTGCATAATACACTGCTAAAATTATTCTTGTACTTTACATCACTTTTTTGGATAAAAGGTATGCACAGAGCCTTGTGTACCAATAACTGGCTCCTTACAATTCATTGCACTGACATTACTGAGATACTCATGTCCATAACTGACAGATATTGGTTTCAGGATGTGACAGACAATTAATCATGGTAAAGCTCAATATGTTCCACTTCAGTTCTAACAATAATGAATACTAAAAAAAATTCGAAAGACTTTGAATTTTACCCATTAACTACACAAGTATCATGTCTTGTATAATTTGTGCCCTCTCAATAAAAATAGTTTTCCTGGCACACTTTGCAACAACATCAACAAAAAAACAATTGCTTACTATGCAAACTTGAAGTGGAGCACAAAAGAGAATAAGCAATTAAGTAGTAATCAAATTCATGACTAAAAAAGTTACTCTATAAGGGAAAAGGATACTATAACTCTGATCATTTATCCCCAGATGCCACAAATTTATCCTCAAATCATCTGCTGATAGGTATGTCTCATCATCGCTGTTCAGTGATATTGAATTGATGTGGTATGTGTGTGCATTGGCATATACTCTTCTAGGACTTGCTTCCACTACCAGCTCAGAGGGCTTAAAAATAGGTACTCTAAGTGATGTTACATCCTCAGGATTTCTTGGTACCCCCTGGTCATCTCGCAGGTTGAAGTTACTTGCAGCAAAGCACCGTTCAGAAATTTTCCACAACTTAACAGTTTTATCTGCAAAAACCAAAAAATAACTAATTATTTCAATCCATGAAAATGTACATTAATGTTTAAGCATAAGCATTTTCAAAGCCAAGCACTTTGTTCAACACTAAAACGTCACTGAGAAAGATGGCTGGTTTGAAAATTACAACCACTTAGCTATACATAGAGGGTTTTACAACAACTAGTTAGCATAAGCAAATGTAACATATATCACATTAAACAAAGTTAACAGTGATGAAAAAAAGATCGTCCCAAGTAAACTGCTAGTACTAACACAGTAAGTTTAAACATTTTTAACACTACAACAAATGAATTGAAAAGGAACCTTCTCTTGTGCTTATTTCAGAATGAAAGAAAGCGATAAGGGATTAGAAGTTATGCTGTTATCAGATCTTTTAAAATAAATTTGTCACACCAAGTAATACAAGTAGCTTTGAAGGTTAACCATTCAATCCCTAATACTATTAGACATATTTTCCATACTGTTTTCTAGACATTTCCTGTGTACTGACAAGGAGAATTTGTTTAACAATCAACAGCATCTTTAGTTGGTGATCCTTTCCTTTATTCTCGTGGCCTTAATGAGTGATTCAGGGGTGACATTGAAAGGAGAAATTGGATGCTAGTCACTCTTAGGGGTTACAGGGTTAATATTCTACAAAGAGTTTGATTTTAGTTTTGGGCTTGAAACTGTTGTAAGGAAAGTCTCTCTACTGTAATATATGCTACAACATTTTCAAAGCTCAAGAATTCAAACGTTCACATTATCTCTAGTTTCATTCTAGGATGCAAATATTCCAAAGTGAAATCAAGTGTTTATATTCTAACAGGTTTCTGTGTGAATTGTATGCGAGAACATTTCCCTGTCACACAATTGTTTGATTAATGAAGAGACTGATAAATAAGATATGCCCCACGTAGTGAACTATTACCACACAAATGTACAATATCAAAACCAAAACTATCTGCTGACACACCTATCTGAGGTCAGCTGGACGAAACTGACAAGCCGGCATTTATCTAAGTTTCCTGTGTCCTATTCCTTAATAAACGGTTGGTGTTATGACGGTAAAACGAGTAAATTAAACAATAAACCCACCATTAGTCGAAAGCAAAAAGTGCGATGCGTTACGCCGCTTTAACCACTTGATCTTGTTTATCTTCTCTTCGATCTCCAAACTTTTAAGATAATCAAACTCTGGTTCGTGACTTTGGAAAGTACTGTACACGTTATATTCACCATAATGCTGTGATCCCTTCGGCTGGAACAACAATTTGAAAGAGAAGTGAAACCATGAAAAGCGAGTACGAAAAACACAGTTAACACCTACAGGAATGATTGACCAACCGGTCATTTGTTAAAAAAAATTCTTACCGCTTCTTCTTTCTGAAAGATAACTATCCTGCCTCCCTTATCACCAGTTGCAAGAAGCTCACCATCGTGGTTAAATTCAACAGTGGAGACTATATCAGCTGAAAATCATAAAGATGTAGGCGGGTGAAGTTGCTTCTAAAGTACAAGTGAACAAATTTGTACCTTGCGTAAAGTACTAGTCTAAGCTTTCATAGAGACCAGACTTGATCCCTAACCGAGTAACAGTTCGAAGCTAGAGCCACTTTTACCTTCGGTAAGATCCTCGTCTAATGTCCCTTTCACCTGTGAAAAGCACCACTGTACTTCTCCTCCATCCTCTGCAGACACAAAATATCATAATGAGCATCTTCACAATGACAAGTTCTTCGATATCAATGTGAGATTTGTATTTGACATCGGCAAATACTCACTTGCCATCGCATTAACGGCAATATACACCTATACAGCGACACATAGATGTCTTAAAACTGAATTTATCACTAAAGAAAGACCAAATACAGATGAAAGGCCAGGATGGCCTAAGATTGCAACCTCACATAGATGTCAGCGAAGGAAATCCAACATGGATGCCGCTCAACGTAAAGGCGTGACGTCAAAATAAAGAGAAAACGAAATTACCAGATTTGGGTATGCTTTCCAAATATGGAAAATTAAATCTTAGCGCCAAGCTTTAAATTTCCTTCTAGTTAGGAGAGGTTTCGATTCGGGAAAGATTCCATCTTCACTTTTTGTAACAAAATGAAAATCGTAGAGTAAAACAAAGGGGGTATGCAATTAAAAAAGAGCCTCAACCGATAAAACGGAGAGAGGTTGTAGCACTGTTCCTCCGATGAGTTCACTAACAAAGATATCGACACACCTTTATCACCTTTACGTTTTTCCTCCTTGTTCTTTTGTTTGGACCCATTTCGCTTGTCGCCGTGACTTAACTTTGGGCTATGATGATGGCCTATATCTACAGGATAATAAAATTGTAATTGTTACAAATCAAATAGAAGGAGCGTAATCATGGGGTCGTAATTGTTTCAATTTGACACTACTAAGAGTATTTAAGGGAATTCAGATATTCTGAAGCTTAAATACTACGGGGCAAAAATTTAATTTTAAGCCTCATTAGCAAATTGTTGGCGACCTTCGAATGAGTTCTGTAAGGTATGTTTAGCAGATAACAACCTGGGGGATTGCGCGAGATGTTTGCCCTCAAAAACTGGTAATACTTTGCCGGAGATCCTCCACGCAAATTCATTAAAAAAAAAACGAACATTAAAACTGAACCACGAAGTTATAATAACATCACATCTTGCCGTAGTAATTGTATTGTGGACCTCGAAAGAGCGGATTCGAATGAAAAATCAAATGGAGAGATTTTTTCTCCAATGAAATCTCAATTGAGCCTTAAAAGCTGTTAAAAGGTGAAATAAAACTCGCGAAATTGGTACTGTAATTTAATACTTATTTCGATCTTGAATATCTAGACCGTTACGGAGGATTTTGTCACGGTTATCAGTTGTTGTATTGTCAAGTTGGTTCACCAGAGGCGTTGAAAAAGCAATGCGAAACGCAAGCAAATGTGAATAACGACGTCCTTCGGCAGTCTTTCGGCGGTCCTTCGGCAGTTACCACGAGTTTCGTGACTTCCCACTTTATTTATGAATATTTCTTTCGATTGCGAAAGGCGAAAAGGGAAAGAGTTCGATTTAATTCAGAGTTCAAATGATGTTAAAATGATTGATTTTGCATAATTTTTTTATCACATACAATACAACATAAATAATAAACCACGGCTAGTGTTCACTGTAGACAATAGAATTTACCGAGTGTTATTCTTTGGCGGCATCGAATGACACGGAACACAATAGGATCTGCCTGAGAACTCTCTTGTTCGTGTTTTAAAATACCGTGACAAATCTCGCGCAGATCTGCAGGCAGATTATAGCTAAACTGATCGCCTCCTGTTTGTTATACTGTTTACGAAAGTTTGACTGAATTAAGATCTTATATTCTAAAACCTTCCTTTCATCTGGTTTTCCTCGACTGCTATGCTGTCAACTTTATTTACATTATAACTTAGAATTTCGGAGCAGCAAACAAGACGTGCAATGTTCAAGTTTTTTTTTTTGATCAGTGCGCTCAGTTTAGCAGCTTACATAATTAGCTTTGAATCTTGACGCCAAAAGTATTTGGTTCTTAGTTCATTAGTATAACGTACAAAAGAAGGTTTGTGAACACGTAGTCGCCGTCTGTAAGTAGAATTGGGGAATAAGTGTGAAATGTACCACGCTGTACGAGGCCATGGGCTTTAAAATCACAATCCGGTATCGTCGTTCTGGGTTGATGACATTAAAAAATCTCGAATTCAGTGAAGAATAAGTCAATGATTTATTTCCTTTTTCGTCATTTGAATCTTCGAAGTTGAACTTTCAGGCCATTGTTCACAAGCTTAAATGTTTATATCTATCATGAACATGTCGATTGTGGGAAAATTCAAAGCTTGCGGAATGAAAAGGAGTGTTTCTGTGATCCTTTGTTTGCCAATGCTTTGATACTTTCACCATGTATACCGATTATGAAACCTGATTAAAATTCTTCATTACGGTGCGACTCGCAGCACGTTGACCTTACAAGCGAAACGTGCCGTACAATTTTGAACGTCTATTGTCTCGAAACTACAAGGATATCTACTACTTCACGTTAATTGGTTGCCCTCGTTTATGAATTTCAAACGGATTCGACGGAGAATCTATTAGCAGAAACAAACTGGAGCTCTTGACCTGTTAAAATGTAAACAACGCTAGCATAGATCGCAAATAATTAATTCACTTTAGTGCTCAACAGTGATTTCAGTAAAAAAATATCGCAGGCTTTACTTACGGTGAAGCTTATCCTTCAAGACTTGCATGGTTCTTCAGATCATCCGATCGTCTAAAAAAAAGCGAATCAAAGGGTGTAGATACATTTGAATGTGGTAACTTGAATATTCTGGTTCACTCCGCCAATAATTTCGTAGTTCTACGCGTGTAGTATATTCCAATGATTATTCCGATAGCTTTGAACGGGGAAGGCCTGGTAGCAAGGCTGCTCTTTGACAAGAAGAAGTCAACATGGCGACGGCTCAGGTTGGGGTGCAGTATGAATTATCGTTGATTAACGTGTTTAGACGTTGGTTTTTTTTCAGAACAGCGTACGCCGCTTTATAAAAAAACTTATCTTTTTACTTGTACTAAAATGTCTGTCAGGTGTCCACCGACGATCCCTCAAAACGAAATGTTAAAGTTTTCATCCAGAGGGACTACTCGCGCGGAACTGCATGTCGCTTTCAAAATAAGTTTCCACCTGAATTAGAAGGAAAGGTAGGTCTGAGGAAGTGCATTTGACTCTATATTATTTTTATGAATTTGATTTTTTACCCAGAGTAATATCTGCATTTGCTGGTCGAGACAAAGTCTGTATAATTTATGTTTGTTGTATATCTGTGGGTTCGGTCAACTGGTCGATCAAGTTTGTTTCTACTATTTTGTTAAATATCACACACGCACATAAAGTTGGCGTGTTTTTCAACTTTTCTCTGTTAATTATTCGCTAGAAATACGAGGAAACTCGTTTATTGCAAATTCAGGAAAGCGAGCAATCAATAATTTCTAACCTTGCACGGTAAACAAACTCTTAAAGAAACTGAGTCGACGCGAAAGATGATCTCAATTACTGATGGATGACCACGAGCAAAGAGTAGGCGCGGAGAAACGATGATTTAACTCAAAGTTTGCGAGCCGTTAGAGGCGTCTGAGGGAATGCACTCTCCTGGAAATTTTTTAGGGTGCAGAAATAAATTTGCAAAGTTTTCAAGAGAACGGTTTCATGAGTCAAAACATGGAAAAATGTTTTCATGAAAATTGTTCAAGTTCCAATATAACATACCGGTAGCATCTGATCGGTTGGAATGATGCACTTTATCAGAGTTCAGAAGCGGGGTAAGAAAATTTTAGTTGGCTATATTTTGTAGAATTTCTGACTTTTGCTTCAACCTATAGAGGAGATAGTACCTATATTTAATGTTCCACATAGTTCCATGATTTGTTTAATATCAATTATTGATAGGTTCATGCTTTTACTCTCAAGATCACACCTGTAATCCTTCATTCCATCCTCAATAATTTCTGTTTTGGTGAGATAACTTGGGTTTTGAACTTCAGCTTTTAGGGAAACAGCACATCTAAATGTGTATCTAAACCTGTTCACTCCTAAGATCTTATTATTACCTCTCCGTACTGACAATCATACAGTTCTTATGATTTTTAGTTTAGAGTATTTGTTCTTGGACCCACCAATAATCCCCTAGTTGATATTTTTCTTTATTCTCATTTCTTGTCTACTTGGTATTGTATTGATCACCATGCTACTTATTTCTATGTGTTATCAAGTGGTGACAAGGGGGACTACAAGGATTATACTTATTCAGTGGGGTGGGGAAGTAGTACTGGTGCCTCAAAAAAAAAACTTTCCTCTTTACTTATTATCCAATCTCAAAATCTCAACAGCCTCTGTGGCTAGTCTCCAAGTCTTATTTCTTTCTAAGTTCTCAAAGAGTTAAATTTATTTGAAGTTAAGGTTCTTTATCTAATTGAAACTTAAGTACATTTAAAAGAGTTTTGATCCATAAAAGATTATGTGTGATCATTGACATTTGGAAATAATGCATTGTGGAGGCTTACATGTATATATTAGGAAGATGATTACAAAAGAGAGTATGGCATCTCTGATCCAATAATTTCATGTCATTCATAGAACCTAGCAAAACCTTAGTATAGTGATGAAAGTGATGAGGAGTTGTAGGGCCAAAGCTGTTTATGTTCTGTCTGAGATTTTTAAGCAGGGTCTTGACATCTTGTGAGTCTTGCATTTCACTTGTAACTCCTCCTTTTTGTTCTTGTTCTGGAGATTCCTTTGGCTTAATGCCCTATTTTTGTCACGAGTGACAAATTATGCTGAGCCTCCTAATTCCTGGGCCATCAACTTGTTTATTGTATCAAGCAGTTCAATCAAGTCTTAGCATGTGTGTATAATTTTAGAATGCCCTTGATGACATTTGTTTGGATTTTCAATACATTTAATCTAAGAGTTTCAAACATGCCAAGAACAATGACAAAGCTAATTGTTAGCTAATTGTCACTTGGGATCAGTATACATGTAGCTTGACAAATTAGCAGATGGGAAATATAGTCATACACAAGTATTTTCCAGATATGAAGGCTTTTTTTTTTTTAGCTTGAGCGGAGTCAGTTTGAGCAAACAGTCAACCACATCAATGAAATCTTTGATGAAGCTGAAAAAGTTGGACCTAGAACCTACCTGGAGGGATGTTTGGGTTGTGTTACTGCTTATCTTATTTTCATGTGCATACAAACTCAATACAATAAGGTAAGACACCATATACCTCAAAATAAATCTGGGTTTTTTAATGATGGTTTCAAAGGGGAGGGTGTTTGCAAAAAGAATGTAACAGTAGAAAGTTTTCAGTACAGTCAACATACCATTTATATTACTTGCAATACAGTACTTGCACTATTTTTTTCCTACAAATTTTACTACTTATTTTTCACTACTTGATATGAGATAAGTAAAATTTACTGATATGTACATGCAGTTATTTTGTGTGGTTGTGAATAATTCTTTAAACCTTTTCTTCTTTCTTACCAGTGTTTAAAGAGACTAGCAGATTACATAAATGAACAGAACCAAAGTGTGTTTATTCCAAGGGGACTAATGATCACCAACCCCATGGACAGGGGACTTCGAGTTGTATCCTTCAACTTAAATATATGTTTTATGTTGCTTATACATTTATACGCAAGAGTGTATGTGTATATGTATGTGTGTGTATATATGCATGTATATATATATATATATATATAAAAGTTTAAAGTTTTAAAGTTTTTAAGTTTACTGCGTATTATGTAAATTTTCCTAGTATATAAACGATAGTCACATGAATATTCTTTCATTAAACCCCTGAAGAGTGAAGCGATTCATGAAACAGGCTTGTCGGGATATGTAGTTGCGTCGTTTTTTCCTCTCATAATATTTATTCTGCTCTGCTTCAACGTATTGAGCACTGTTCCACGCGAAAATCGACTTGCAGACTTCCTATATATATAAAAAGAGTAATTTTGACTTACGCAAGACAGTGCTCAATACATAGGAGTAGAGCGATGTATATATTGTGGGAGGAAAAAGACATAATAAGACAAAAGAGACACTTTTTGATGAGAAAACAAGAGGTATACATATTTCGCAAATTTTTTCAAATTGCAATAACTTCAAAAACAGGTGTATTATAAATATAAATATATATACATATATATATATATATATATATATATATATATATATTTATACACTTACATAAATATACGTACATGAGCCCCTTTAGTCAGTTAGGCTCTGTGTCATTGCAGTGGTATAAATGTCCTTTCACTATAAGCTTGTGGCCCTTTCAACACTGGCAACAAAAATAAATGTTCAGGTAAAAGGTTTAGCTATATTGAAGATGGCTAAGGAGATGGTTTCGTCAAGCAACAGCTAAACTTCATTTGATTAACTGGTCTTGTAGGATCTAGATTTGTTGCAAAGAAAACCATGATTATTATGAATCATTCCTTAACAGTCTACCACAGATTGAAATTGTGGTTGTCAGCTCATCAGATCAGAGGTGACCTATTAAGCAATGTGTGATTTCTTGCACTTTGAATCTTCTAAAGCTCAACATCCTGGTGGTGTTAAAAATTGCATTATCTTGAAGGCTGAGATACAGTCAAGGACCTAAATCACTTCTGTTCCTTTATTTTTTAGGGCATAGTCGCTAAAATCTTTACAAACTTTGCCAATGTTTGCATGCAATAGCAATATTTTATTTAGCTTTTTGTACATTGAAATGAATTATGATCATATTATGATTTTTGATCATTAAATATGTTAATTAAATGAGTTTACTTTCAATTAGGTGCACTGAAAATTTCAAGTTACACTCAACTTTTCTCTAGGCAATTTATTCTCTGAGCGATTTAAGTCTAGTGAATGATCATTATTGTGCATATGGTTAAACAGTAGAAATTCGATAGATGTGGAGTGTAAGATAATGGAACTCTGCTGTACATTACTTATGATAAATAACATTTTAAAGGTGATACTTGTAACAGTTTAATGTTTGTATATGATTGGCATTAACCAATGATTGCATGCTTCATGGATAGGGCTGTACTATGGTGATGATTATACCAGTCTGCACATAATCTAAAAGTTGTACACCCAAAACAGCTTTGCAAAACACATTCTCTATTTCTACCTGAGGTTAATTTTGCATGATTTTCCTTTTATAAGGACACAAACACATATCTGTGATAGGACAGAACTGCCCTGATTATTATTGCTTGCAAGTGTGAACATGCCAGTCAGACAGTGTATCAGTATACAGCATCCCTCCTTGTTTGGATAATATTTAATTTAATAAATCTGTATTTGTCACAATTTACATTCAAGGTCATCACTTAGAAACCAGATGCACTGAAAACACCCATGCTAAATGTTAAAAGTAAATCAGCTAAGAAATTCAGAAGCATGTTTATCTACTAGGTATTGTCAAAAGACAATGTATGTTAAGTTACTTCTGAAGAAAGTGATATATCAAAAAAAGGAGTGTTCACATGTACGTGTGGGCAATTTTTTTGGTTCACATGCTTGTTTTTACTTGATTGAGGTAGATCTGTACATGTATTTATTTTTGTTAAAAACAACTCAAATACTGTATTCAATGGTACTCTTAATTCATTGTTGAAATAAACGATAGGTTTATTATTTTTATGATTTCATTTTCATGTTTTTCTTGGTCAAAAAATGTAACAAAATGTAACTTTGATCGATGAAAAGTCATGTGTTTTTCACAGTAGGAATATGGTGATCTTTAAAAAGACTGCTTACTTTCATAGGATTGCAAGATAAATAAAGTTCTGCAGGATTATAATATAGCCATCATACTAAAATGCTTTCTTCAGTATTAAGACATTTGTTGTGAGGTAAAGGAGGATCTGGTTTGAATTTTCAAGGGATTGGTGAGACGTTGCTTGTGAGTGAGATGACATTGTCTTGCTGTTTTTCAAGGGTTGGGATGATGTGCATTGTTTTATCTAGGAGCCTACCGAATCTTAGCCTCTGTGTGGGAAGACAATTAAGTTCGATCATTCATTTTACGTGAAAATAAAACACTTCAAACAGTCACCTTCAATTACAATGTCTAATTCTCTTCCCCATTCTGGCTCGGGACTGTCATTCTAACATCCGTTTGGATGGTGGGAAGGATTCAGGTGCTGAACAAGTGCTGTGCTTGTAAATGTGACATTTTTTGCGCGTAACTCGCGCTTTCCTCCTAAACCTGGAAAGCGCCAAAAATTTACGCCAAGTCTGCAGGCTAGGGATTTTCTCACATTTGTAAATTGTCACTTGTTAGACGTCACGTAGCAAACTTCCACCACGACAAACAACACGTCAACAAGATCGCGCCTAGCTAGTCCGTCTGTCACGCAATACTCTCTGGCGTGACAACCAAATTGCTGGAAATTAAGAAGCAACATGGCAGAATCGTTGTTTATGTAGTAACTGAGGGTAAGTGAAAACGAGTTCATAAACCGTTGTAACCTCTGATTGCCCTCTGCATAAGATTATGACATCTGAATTTCCTAATTTTGCTAATATGAATGATACTGATGTAGAAGAACGGGGACAAAGGAGTTAGTTCTGTCAAGACAAACAGCTAGCTCGATCTCACGTATTCGTCATGGGACGCATAGATGCACCGGGGAGTCATCAATCTCTAGGTTGAATGTGTTCGCTGGAACATTTGTTTTTAAAATGTTCTTCAATGATGCAAGTTTATGTGGTGGTTCTAGAAGGTGGACAATAATGATGAAGACGCGATGAAGATGTTGACTGTTGGAACAGAAATTTTGGCAGAAAAGGAATTTGAGCTGCGACATCAACATGCATTATGTGAACATGTGGAGTATTTTCTGTCTATACCAGCACAGTGACATAGGCTGATTAAATGACAAAGTGACAGATTTAAATTATCAGTATTTGTCGCGAGCCAATTGCAGTGTTTTTTGTTATATCCATATCACTAAACGTTTAGGTGTGGCGAAGATTTTCCTGTATGTTTTCGCCGAGATGTATTTTCATTTCCTGAAAGGTTTTGCACTTTAGTTGTAACCTACACGTACTTCATGTTTCACCGAAAGTTCTGAAAGGGGAAAACTGCAGCTCCTAGGAGCTGTAAAGCACAAGGCTTGGGTAATTCTGACTCTAGGTTTATACAATAGCAATTGGTGTGTTTATCTGTGCCTGGACATATTTGTGTCCTGGAACCATAATGATGAATAGGGTTATCTCATCTCAAACATTTCCACCAAACACTGAAGAACTATATTCACTTTGCATACACTCACAAGACGGGAATTTATCATGAACGCTATCAGTGATGGTCAATTGATGAAGTTTGTGACTACTTCTGTGTGATTATTAATTGGTCATCAATTGACTGATGTCAGTCGAGGCCAATTAACTAATTATACTCAGTTGTTGTTGATTGAGGTTCTGATCATCAATTTTCATCTATTGTTCATGCTCTAGTACATAGTTTTTAAGAAAAGTTTTGTCAGTTAGGTTACAGGTTTGAATTTTGATCAACAGGTTTCAGGGATTTTAGCTGCATTTTACATTCAGAAATCCAGTTATATCTCACACTGTTGACCATGGAAGGAAAAATATCACAGGCTGAAGAGCTGCTAAAATCATCAGCCCTGGACAAAAAAGAAGAGGCAGTTAACATTTTAATTGGAATTTCCAAACGAGGAGACAAGAAAGCCACAGCTATCTTAGCAAAATGTCTAAAGGACAGAGATGGAATCAATGCAGAGAATGAACATGAAGTGGTGTGGTGTGTCAATACAAAAGAGGAGGACAAGAGACTTCAATATGCTGTAGAAGTTCTTTATAATTCTTTGAAAAAGAATGATGAAGACAAGCTTGCTCTTCAAGATATTGATGAGGCTCTGAAAGAAGCAGAGGCAAAACTTAAGGTACTGATTAATATTAGGTGATTTTCATTAAATTATTTGGAATTTATTCAACAAGATTGGTAACTGTATTATATGGCTCTAACACAGACCCCTATATACAACCCAGGTGCCTTGTACTATTAGTTGATTTATGCAGATTAATTGTTTCATTGCCTGGGCAGATCGACCCATCCATGTTATGAAAGGTTTATTACATTTTATAACACAACTGAGAAACTATAACCACCCTGACTGGTCAAAAACCTATTGTTTTTTGCACTGGTATAAAAGCCATAGTTATTTTATAAAATCAATAGACCCCACTTTCTATCTGTTAAACAGTGCAATATCCCACTTGGGATATTGGGGGGTCTACTGCTTTCATAATTTGTCAAAATTAACCATTTTGAATTTGAGCTTTATTCCTTGGTTTAGAAAAATACAACAGGTCAAAAAGTTTGTGTTGGTTTGCTGGGATATCTGGATGATCGTGAGAAAATATCAATCATTTATAGGTTTTGGTAATTATACATGGACTTTGTAGGAAAAAGAGACTGCAAGTCAGGAAACCACCTCCACTGAAGATTTAGAGAAAGACCAGGAAGAGATAAAACAAGATTTAAGCCTCATGAGCTTGTTGATGAATGCTTTGACAGTTGGTGGACAGAATGAATTCACTCTGAGTGAGATGAAGGATACAGCTTTGGCATATGCTAGGGGTGAAGTACCAGAAGTTGTTACCCTGCTCAGTAAAGAGGACATGGAGAAATTTCAAAAAGCTTCTGTACTAGAAAAGGTATGTAGCACACCTAGCATTTAAAAGTCATTTCTACAAGTCCAGTGGTGACTGTCTTATATTATTGATTAGTAACTTTTGGGGTTTTTGTCATCTCAGGCTCTTATTTTTATTAAGTGTTATTCATTTATCACAAAGAAGACATCTCAGGCCCAGGGTGAGTATTTAATTAATTAAATTTAGAATCTTCCTGCTCTTTAATTCTTACAATTTTATTAGTAAATGTATAACTTTTGAATGACAGAAGTAGAAATTATACATTTTCTGGAGCATACTTCTCTTTGTAACACTTACAACTTAAAAAACTCAGAACAAAGTTGCTATAAGCACACTTTGTAACAGCTTGTATGGACTTTGTTAGGAGAATGGATGATAGTGATAATTATCAGGTAAGTGTTATATCATTTTCTGCTCTATTTTTAATGTCAGTTTCTCACCCTCATCTAGGTCGTGCAGTTTCCACAGCAATCACTCGAATATGCCAAACATTTCCTTCTTGTGAAGATTTCAAAGGAAGGATCAAGTTTTTTGAAGTCCTTGATTCCAACATCTCAAATACACATGCTGTTCCTTCTGTACATCTACAGCCATCTTACTGGAGATTTTCTGTGGTTTCTTGTCCCACTGGTTGTGTTCTATATTGCATTCATATCTCTGGTGGTGTTCTCACTTCAAATGTTTTATGGTAGAGAAGCTCTGCGGCAGCTACGGAGTGTTGCAGAGCTCATGAAAAAGTAAGTGATTCTCTCAGCTGTCTTTTTTTTTTTTCCAGCCAGTCTTGGAGGTTGTTTTGATTTGTATTGTTGAAGAAAAAAGTAACGTAAATTTAATGGCTCCTGTAAGAAAGAACTCGACACACCCCTGCTGATTCCAATCCCATGGTCTAATGTTCTACCTAATACTTAGCTCTAAAGAACTTATTGATGAGCTGGCTGGGCTGTATGTTGTAACTGCATGTTATTATTGTGATGTTAAAAAAAATGCCTAAGGTATAATGATATTAAGATCCATTTAATGTAATTGTAAAAATCAATATTGCATGACATGATATAGTTGTTATTTTCTACTAACAGCTCCATCTACCATTTATTTTAAATGTAAATGAAGTAACCACATGATTCTGTTATGCAATAATAATTTTATTTAATTTCATTATTTTTGTCTAGATTTGATCCAAGACTTGATGCACAAGAGACAGAAAGGACATTTATGTGGAAATCTTCAGCTCCGTATGTGTATTTTTTCATTGTTTTGCTGATAACAGTAGCAGTTCTTCCACTTTGTGACAAGCAATGGATCCCATGTTCTGAAATGTCTTTGGTGGCTCTCTTGTTTACAGGTGAACATGACCCTGTTTTTATTGGTATACTCAAATATGGAATTTATGTGAATTCTCTTAAAAATTTTGTCCAAGATTTAGGTAGATATGTAGCTTACTAGAGGATATGGCTGATCCTACTTGTATGGAGCTGTTTTTTTTCCTGATTATCATTCATTGTATTGATTTTAACTGTAGTCATTTACATTCTGAGATTGCATGCTCATCTAGTTTATTTGTCTTAAAATAATAAAATTTAGTTAAAAGAAATTATAAATATTTTTCCATAGTATAAGTTTATTAGGCCCTTCTTCCATCATAGCTGTTCCAAAAAATCTTGAAATAGTGCTAGTAATAATTTTTGGGTCAGGTCTGAAATGGCAGTGAAAAAAAATTTAATATTTTGTTGTCAATTAGGATAAAAATTCCCTGCAAAGTTTTCAGGGAGTACATATCCTTCTATCTCCTCCCCTAGCCCGCTTAGATTTTGAGGTGCTTCAGTCTGCACTTTATCAGCAATGAAAAAAACCTTTAATACATCTTGCGCTTGAGTTCTTTAAACAATGCAAATTTCCCATCCTCTGATTGGTTGCAGATAGTAATTTGGGACAGTCATTCATTTGCTTAAGTAGAAAAATGATGACCCCATAATCAAAAGATTAGTGCATGTATTTGATTGTCTTAATGATAAAATGTTAAACTGACAGTAGTTGTTGGAATATTGTGGGATTTGAAGCAAGTTGTTAGTAGTTGCATCCTTTTCTAACTGTGCTTGTATTTGAACTAGTTTCATCTTTCAGAGGTTTGCCTGACAAATATGATGACTATGCATTGTACACTATTCTCCTTAAACTAATGACAACTGGGTTACGAAGCATGGAGAATGTAAGAGTCTTGGGTGTCCTGTGCTATCCTATCTCTAGGGGTAAGTATCACTTGCCGCTCAGTGTTACTTAAGAATAAAGTGTGTTGGTTTTAACTTTTTGCTTTTTCCGTTTTTCTGTGTAGTGCCACTTCCCTATGGGTTGGAATTAGCAATCAGCCTCCCCTCCCTACTTCACGTGGTCATCCTTGTGTTACTCATCATCATGGCGGGTCGTCACTCTTGGCGAGGCATATATAAAGTACTTGTCCCACACGCAGTGTGCCTACTCTGGTGTCAGCTGTTTACGGAATTATTCCATTTCACCTCATGGGCGAGCCTGCTTCGTGCCACGGTGGGGTGGGTCATTTTTGTCACCATGCTACCCTTTCTGTTCCTATTCACCGTTGGTCTTACAATCACTTATTTCTTGAAGTGGTTTATGACTCTTGACATCGCTCTGAAACTTGCTGTTACTGCAATCATCCTCGCAGTTACATCAGTGTTCTTCTATTACTCCAAAATGGAAATTCCCTATTCGGGCAAACTCCAGCGCAAGAAGAAACTGCTAATGATCGTGGCGGGCCTAGCGGTGTTTTGCCTTTTGGTCCCTATTGTTTTTGTCAATTTTGTCCCTTCTCTATATGGCTCCCCAAAGCCCTTGACTTGGGCAGAGTATTCCAAAACTTGTGGATTGGACGCCAGGGAAAGTGAAAATGTGAACATGGCATCAGTACAGATACAGTGCTCTGAATTTCAGGGTGAGTCAGTGAACTGGACTGGAACTGTGGCTTATGTCAAGGTAACCTCACTGGAAAATCGTTTCAGACGCCTGTTAGCATTCCTGCCTGTGTTTTTGCGGCCGACTTTCAAGTGCCTCCTTGGAGGAGAAGAAGATGACAATATTGTCAGGTTAGACTTGTTAATCCCCCCCCCCCCTTCACAATTTCTTTTGGGCCCCTACTCAACCACCTTCGGAATATTTTTAACTTTCTCCTTAAACTTCTGTTTGAAAGCACAAAAAAAAATGCTTGTAAGAGAAAACTTAGGCGTAAATCTTCACAATGTTACGCCTCTTTTGGTCATTTATTGCTAAAATATTGTTGCGTGGTATGTATGGACACCTAGCACAATTCTCGTTTTATCCCCAGATGCGAAACTGCTGTGAAAATTTTACGTTAATTTCTCAAAAGTTCAGTTGCGCTCTGGAAGAAGTTTCTTGTGTTTCTAACTCCCCAGCTAGCTCTCTCTAACCAAGCTGATTGTATCCAACCGCAAAATCAAAACTGACTCCTCAGATTATATATTTTTCCCCATGCATTCACTCAAAAATTTCAACGTTTTTCTCTGTTTTCATTTTGTCCTTAGTTCTCCTCAGAAAAGCTCATGGCTCCCAAGGGCGAGAGGACCGTGCCACCTTAAAACTTTTGACAGGTACACGTTTTCTGTTGGGGTGAACATGACGGATTCCAAGTCACACAGCAGTGAAGTGATTCAAGTTACAGTGAAGCATCGCTTCTATCATTCCATGGTCACTTTACAAAAATACACACAGGTATAACAACGACGTTCAAATTTTGTCTTTTTTTCCTTTCAGAGTCCTTAGTTCCTTTCTACTATAGAGCTCTCACTCTGAAAGTTTGACAAATTAAGTTCAGTTTAGGAGTGGTTGTAGACTTAATTTAACGAGGGTAATATTTGACGTTACTGAAACTGATGAGCTCATGGCTATCATGGCCCCAGATGATCTGAATTCTGTAGCATTGTCGCTTTGCTTGCAAATTATTGGCAGTGCAGTCCAGCATCCAGGTATGTCGAACTATGAACGCGTGTCTAGGCGCGGACCTCCATAACTATATTACTATTGTCTTGCCCTTGTTATCGAGGACCATTTTAGCTGTCCTTAGGAAGTTCGAGATAAAACCGATGTACTGTAAAAGCCTGCAAACTTGCCTCTCCCGTGCACCTCCCCCCTACCCCCCTATTACAGCAATGATACATCACTGTGTCCTTGTTCTGTATTTTCTTTCCCAGATCACATTTGAAGGACGCTTACAAAACGGTCCGCCTTACGTGACTGTCAGCGCCAAGAGACTTTATATCGACGGCGTTAAGGTCAAACCACGGATTGGACTGGGGCGTGACGACATATATGAAGGATTGCGTGACTCAGGCAGATTCATGGCCCAGTTCTTTATGACTCCCTTGGTAACTGAGAGAGATGAACACGACGATGACTAAGTCCTAGCTGTTGTGATAGACGATTAGTGTGTTCCAACCACTTAAGTAGGGTACCCTAAGGTAATGAATAGAAAAGGGTGCTAGAGTCTCTGGGTACTTAATCATAACAGGGTATCAGAGCCTCTAGGGTATTGAATAATTGACCCCGTTCATAGAAAGGTCTTTTCTCTCCAGAGAGGCCATGTTTGCACGAAAAGGCACCTGCAAGAGAGTCAACTTGAATATTTTAGTAACCGTGAGAAGAAGTTGCCCAAGGTTATTGGAAGAAAAGGTAACAATATCACCGTTCTTGTTTATATCTCAATAAAGCTCCGACTTATTTTCAAGAGGAAAATCTTGATCTAATGATTGATGCTTCAGAAAAAATATATGTTATTATCAGGTTTGAAAAAAGTATTTAATTATTAAGTTTACATTATTTTAAATAGTAATTCATTATTATCCTAAGTCTACTTTCTTTATTTACTTAGATGTTCAGTTTCATATTACTTTGCGGCGCAACTGCTGTTCTAAAGACATATTAGATTCAAAGCCTATAATCAAAGTCTTCTTCGAAGTTAATAAAATGTTTTGTTGGTAATTGTTGTGTTCTTTAATGAAGCATGTTGGGTTTTGTGTTATAGTTCAAACCCGGGTGGTGACAATCTTTAGGATTTAAAAGATACCACCATGAACATTTACACCCGAGTGATTCGCGGCCAAATTTGTTCACAGAACAATAAAATAAAAACTTCCAAAAGTATTTTTCTCCCACAGGATTTGATTTGTGCAACCGTGAACCTTTTTGTTCCGTGCTACCAAGAAGAGTGGTGTAAAATCATGGGTGAACGTTCTATTTTCCTTATTCTGCCAAACTCTCTCATGAAAACATATTCAGTAATGTGACATGCTCTCTTCAAGTCGAATTCAGTCTTTTAATCCAAGTTGTTGACTGCGAGTTTTCGAGCAATTTCCACAAGGGCTCTTGTTGGTCGACCTAAAAGAAATTAAGTAAAGTAAAGAATGTGATATCGTGTAATGTGATAAGATAAGAGTATGGACTTCTCTAAAATCTACCTTTTAACTCTTCATCGACAAGAGAAGACAAGAAAAGTTACTGACTAAATTACCGGTTTTGATAACAGGCGCATTAATGCTTTGGGGCCCTCGCTAGGGTCTAATGCCCAGGACCCTAAGAGTCTCGTAAACCTCATGAATTATCCTTTCCTATCTGAGTGAAATATGTACGCAATGTACGCAATTTTCTTCCTGGTCAATGATGTCTGGAAAAATCACACCATTTCTCAGGCTACAGGTTTCCGGTATCACCTTACCTGACATGCCTTTGTTGAGATAAGGGATAGCATTCGAACTGTTGTCCATCACACCGGCGATGTCAAAATGAGCCCAATGTTTAGCGTCAACAAACTCCTACAAAAAAAATTACAGCGTTCAGATAACCTTGAATTCAAAGTCAAATTCGCAACACAAATTTCCCTTAATTATCTTCTCTGCCCAGAGAGGTTCACTTGAACCGTGATTTACAATTACCTTGAGGAAAACTGCTGCAGTACACGATCCAGCTGACCTAACAAAACAGAAAAAATGGTTATTATACAGCTGGCAGCGCCCGTGGGCAATATGAAGCATTCTGATTGGCAACCCGAGCGGTTCAAGCACCATTACTTCTGAAATGAGAGGCAGCGAATGCTACAGATTGCTCGGAATTTCCTTTCTCTTTATTAAACTATGTAACTGAGTTCTTGTGATATCCTTCTTATTGACGGCGTTTCTTTGTAGAATGCAACAGCTCCCTTCGTTTCTAATAATCCAGCCACTCCTTATATTTCTAGAGTCATGTTCCATCACCCATTTTCTTCCATTCTTCTCCCAATTCCCACCCATCTTCAGTTCTCCCATCTTACCTCTTTTTTCCAGTGTTTCTTAAATCAGCCACATCAGACTGTATCTGTTCAGTGTAGTGTTTGTATAATGGCATGCGCCACATTCGCTCCCCGCAATCGAACCCAGCCTGAATGTACAATTAAACAAACACTGGTATAGCCAGGCTTCCTGACAGGCAAACTTTAAAGGTATTTCATGAGCTTAGAAATTCTAAGGGAAAGGTTGTGGTGTATGCACATTTCAGAGGAGTAGGGAATGCTCTGCTTTGTTTTGGTACTGCGAAACCTTTAACATCCCCGCCCAAAGACATCGATTAAATTTTAGTCTGATTTTAGCCTGACCAGCAGGATAACGTTAGGAATTTTTTACTTCTAACGTGAAAGTGATGAATGCATAAAAAAAAAAAGAGTTTTCGACTGAGTTCCCAAAAACTTAAGAAGGCTGCTATGTTAGTATCGGAATTCCTTACCTGAAAAATGCAGTGCCACAATGTTGCAGAGTTTGTAAACACACCTGTAGCTCCTTGTCCTAAGGCGATATCCATCGCACCTGTAAAAAACTGTGTTAGAACTGAACGTACTGAAGCATAGGTGATTATATCAAATTTTGGTTACATGTACCTATACAACAATACTTCCTATCTGGTTCCACAATGGTCAAAGGAAAAGAGGTATCATTGTTAATCAAAGATTTTGACTGAAGCGACACAGGATGTTGAGTACATATAGATGAGTCGCATCTTTATCTGTTCTATAAAATCCCTTGTTGAAATAATACAGACACAAAACTAAGTATGACCGAGACAGTTACCAGTAAGTGTAGCCACATCAATAACGGCACGAGGGTTGAATTTGCTGGCGTAACAAAGAGCATCGGCAAGAATGAGTCTTCCTTCGGCATCAGTATTGTCAACCTTCGAAAGAATGGGTGACAAACCTCTTACTAAGCGAATTCAAGGTCGGTATTGTACGTTACGGACCTAGAAGACGAGGTAAGTTAGATATTTCTTTTATATCTGGGTAGAGTTTCGATTCCAAAACTTCGGAAATACAGGGAAATACGGGCCGCTAAATTGACCAATTATAGCGCACGCACCTACTAACCCACACGACCCCACGCGCACATTTAATGAAAAAAGTTGGCTAGAAGTCATGATGTGCGAAACTTAAGTTAGAAAAAAACCTTCAGTATCCTTGAACTACATCCCCCGCCCAACATACTGTTAACTGCTCTGAAAGAACTCCGTTACTTACAGAGATTCCAACTCTCCCGTTTTAGTCGGAAACGTCTTGTTTCCAGCTTCCCATTTTTGCTCAACATTCTACCGATTTTTTACAACTTTCCTTTGGCAAAAGAAAAGATACGTTTTCCCTGCCTCACTTCTCTCTTCAGCACGGTCCTTCGTCGTTTTTTCTGTTGATTCTGAGGCTTTTTTGGCATACTCACATAACCCCATGGTTTTTGGGCGTGATAACGCACTAGATTACCTCGACGTCGGGCGAGATTTGCGTTGTTCTTAGTTTTATATGGTATGACATCTTAGACCGCCCCTTCCACGCACACAAATGTGACTCTTCTGCTCCCAAAACCTCTCTCATTTTATTTCGATGGGTTAGTCTTTAAATGTGTGATAAGAAAGTAAGGGTAGCTGGGGTGTTGTGTCCCAAAACAAGGTTAGATCGTAGGTATGACAATTTCATTACAAACCAACGTTTAAATTTATATGGTGGGATCTGTAAATATACCCAGACCATTTCATTGAGTTACCTCAATAGTCTTCCCACTCATTGCGGTGATGACATCTCCTGGTTTGTTAGCACATCCTGATGGCATATTTTCACACAAAGGAACAAGAGCTGTGACATTGATTGGCACTTTTAGCCTTGCTATGGCTTCAAATGCTGCACTAACAGTGGCAGCTCCACCCATATCAGCTTTCATGAGCCCCATTCCAGCAGCTGGCTTGATACTGATACCACCACTAACAAAAGAAATGAAAAAAAAAATTAAAACAAAAGTGCAGCCAACACAGACATAAATAACACTGATCCCTTCTCAAACAAACCCTATGAAAAGGAAAGTCAAAGCAACAACATGTCAAAGCAACAACATGTGGTGTTAGTAATATCCAAGACATTTGTGACTTAACTTAAACTCAAGTATTGTACACTTTTGTTGATCAACTCAAAGAACATTTACACACCTGTCAAATGTCACACCTGTAAGGAGAGAAAAGGAATATCAACTGGCCAGAAAACAAAAACGATTCTATATTTTTTCAAGAGCAAACCCTTTATTTTAATTAAAATCAACTGGTAAGTCAGTCCATTAGTCTATTTCCCCATCCACCCACCAGCAAATCAACAAGTGAAAAGAAAGAAAGCAAAATATCCCTTATGCCTTTGTTTTATATATACATGAAAACCAACATTCTAAATTCCAAATTGACCTAGAACCAGTGGATAAGAAGAGCCACCTCATGAAATGTCCACTGCTAAATCCCATTTTTTTTTAAGTTACTTTTTTTATCCCATTTCAAGAATGAGAAAAATATTTTTATCTGAACCTTTCCAGGTTGAAAAGATTGCCATTGAACAAAACAATTATTTGCCAGGAAGAGTTCTGTTCAGGACTGTATAAATGTCATGCTGATTCCTGAAAAATCAAATAAACAGTCACCTTTCCCAACAAGAATTAAAGGGGGTGAATCAGATTCCTTGGCACCAGAATACTTCATTTCTAAGAAAACACTTGGTTCACTTGAGCCCTTGCCAACACTCAGGAATGCACCCATCTTGTGCTCTTCTGCCCAATTTTGGTCCCTAGGGAACAAAGATACGTGGTAAAACCAACTTCTGGAATAAACAAACAATACTTATCAGTCCTTGTGCTATTGTTGAGTAGTATTATGGGATTAGAACTCCACCATAAATTAACATTCAATTTAAATTCATTTCTCCACCAAGCAATGTCTATCATTCACTAAATAGGAGCCGTGCAGTTACTGGATTAGACTTACGTTCATTCTTAATTCTGAATAAGCTCTCTAAATGTACATCCAGGAGTTTATATCAGTAACTATGAGACTATTCCAGGGAAACCTTAAAAAATGCCAGGTTAACCTTCTGTGGACTGGAATCCCACTTGGGAAGAGTGAAAGCATATTCCCAGCCTGTTTGACATGTACAAAACCCTGATATACATATGTAATACATAATGCTTGGACAGCTATGCAAGTTATTGTTGACTATGCACATATTGAAGGTCACACAGACTATTGTCTGTACTACTGTTAAAAATGTAAATACATAATGAAATACATGAATTTAGCAACAGAGAAATGTGTATTAAATACCTTGCCAACACTTGCACACTTTCTAGATCTGAAAACCTGTTGATAAGCGTATCAGCAAAGACTGTTGGTGTCAAAAGGTTGGATGGTGTTTCCATCAGCTCTCTGGCAAAATTTTGTGCTCCAGATAACAGTAACCCATCCTGCCAAAGTTTATGCCAGGCATAGAAATTTATTTCCTCCTCTTGGCTGCAGTAATATGAACAATACACATTAAGAAACCAAAAAATTGATTACATTTGGTAAATCACAACAAAAAATAGGTCGTATGTAACACAAATGCCAGATATATATAATATTACTTCAATTCATTGTTTACAGCATTTTTCACCATTTACACCCTA